CCCCCCCCCACTAAAAGAATCATTATTTGACGTTAAGATCAAGTGCGTTTAATAAAGCAAAATATTTCTTTCTGGATACAATTATTATCGATAAAGGGATACACATTTTTAATAATAAAAAAAAAAATAAAAATGATTTTCTTTTAGTTTCAAAAATTTTAAAAAATAAAAAAAAAAAATTAATTAATTAGAAAGAAAAAAAAAGCCCCCCCCCCCCACTAAAAGAATCATTATTTGACGTTAAGATCAAGTGCGTTTAATAAAGCAAAATATTTCTTTCTGGATACAATTATTATCGATAAAGGGATACACATTTTTTTTTTCTTCAATAAAAAGGAGCAACACATAACCCTACATTTTATTTATCTAACGGCTAAGAAAATACAAACTCTCTTAGGTTAAAAGAAAACAAAAACAAAAAAAACAAAAACAAAAACAAACAAGCAAACAACCACGCACCGACGATTGTAATAAAATCAGCTGAAACTGAAAACTATTCTTAACCTTTTTTAAAAAAAAAAAAATTGTGATAGTTCTTTATAACTATAATGTTCAACAACCGAAAAAAAGGTGACTCAAAATACAAGACACAGAAACATACAAAATGAATCATCTTATTACTCTTGTTATTTAAATCCCAGCTAGAGCTGCTTGCAAAGAAAATTAATAAAGTTCCATTAGCTTGAGATATTTTTATAGTTGACCCCAAGCCCAGGTGTTCTAGTTATGAGGAGGTGACGTCACTCCAACTGTTAAGAAGTGGAACTCATTTTTTTTACGGTAAACAATTTAATTTTTGAAAACGTAACATTTTTCAATCTAAAAGATGGATCTCAAAATGCTAGGTAGCTGCAACACAAAACATTTATGGCGTATTTGAAGATACAAGTTTTAATATACGAGGGGGTGCGTTCAAGCAGTGTAAAGTAACTAAACAGTGGAACAAGATGTGTTTAGGCTTGAAAAAAAGAAAGAGAATACAGTAAAGTGGATGTTTGGGCTAGAAGCCTTCTACAGCAGGCAATAAAATAAACAACAGGTACATTTATTTTAATTTAAAAGGTAAACAACGGATGTGTTCGATGATCTCAATAAAGTCAAAGGTAGCTCAATGTCCAGAGCAGAAAGCGATCAATGGTATTGCCAGAAACGGAAGGTGAGTTGCTCAAAACCAAAACCTGCGCCTCACATTATTCTGTGGTGCGTACAATCACGGTAAAAGAATTTAAGTATTATTAATGTAAGACTTTAAAAGGCAAAAAATTGAAATAGAAATGGTGGGTCATTTTTTTCCGCAGCCCACCCCGTCTAATGTCAATCACACGCCAATCCATATCTTACCTGTAGTCTGTGAAGTTTAAATTGAAGGTTGTGCGTCCCACAGCTGATGCGCGAAAAGGCAAATACAAAGTCTAGTTTGTTTCCCTTAAAGCTGAAATGTCGGAGCTTTAGCCACGTCTTAGTCTTACAACACATTTGAGTTGTTCAATGACGTGCTGATTCCAAATGAACCGATTAAAAATTAAATAGCTTTAAAATAATTAATGTTCGGTCTGGCACATTCGGCCAAATTAGGCATGATTTTTTAAACGTGTCAATGTAAGTAGCTTAATAAATAGAAATATAAATTCTTGTTTTTTTGTGTTTTTTTTAACTTCATTTGAAAGTACAGAACGAGAAAAGTAAAAACATTAACTGTTGTGACAAACGTCAGTGAACTTTTCAATCTCTTAAGCAAAAAAATTTTTGGAGCCGGCACTACCCCACCCCCTTAACAAATTAAAATAAAGAAACAATTTACATTCTTAGCTTTTTATAAAAAAAAATAATTAAAATATGGTAAGATGAATGAGGATCGTTTTGGAGTCATTCACTAACAAGCATCCGTGATACCAACACCTGCGGCAATTTGTGGGTAAGTGAATGCAAAAAAACAAACAAATTCACTTGCTGGTCATACATTCCTCACAGAAGAGCTACTTTATCGTGAATCCAACTTTGATAATAACAATCAAGAGTCCTCTGTATCTTTTATCCATAAACTGACGCGCAGCGTTAGAGCGCCTCCAAAGGTTAAACAGGTCAGAACCGCGTCTTCAGCTGCACAATCACTTGGCATAGAGGCAGGGGCGCACGCTAACTTCCATTTATAAGCGCGAGCTACGAACTAGAGGTAACGTTCATCTCATACCCAGAAACAGAGGCGTCGTCGCTAAGTTAGGAGATGAAGTTCTCCGACCAGGGGATATTTACTGACTCACAGTTCGCTACCGAAACCGATGGAACGAGTTAAAAAAATTGGTTTAATTACATTCTGGAAACAGGGGAAGTTATCAAGGCTTAAATCATTATTCAAAATACGATTTATTGAAGGATTTTGCTTAAAAGAAATATCAATGAGACGATAACTCATACAAATCGATAATTGATTGAGTACAAAAGCAAAGCAAAGAAAACACACATAACCTGTAACAAAAAAAAAAAAAAAAAAAAAAAAAAAAAAAAAAAAACAACAACCAAAAAAAAAAAAAAAAAAAAAAAAAAAAAAAAAAAAAAAAAAAAAAAAAAAAAAAACAAACAAAAACTAAAAAAAAAAAAAAAAAAAAAACAAAAAACAACAACAAAAAAACAACAACCAAAAAAAAAAAAAAGAAAAGAAAAATTAAGAAAAAAAAATATTAAAAAACAACGAACTCTTACATAATTTGACAATTTATTCTTGCACGGAGTTCATTTTGAATATTTTATTTATTGAAATTAATCTCCATGGGATGTGAGATATTTCCTTTAATTAAACCAACACAATGTTTAAATCGCGTTAGTCACAGGCCACACCATATTACATTTAAATGTATTTCCTCTTGTCTCTATTAATAATTAAAAATAAGTTGTTATTGTAATTAAATTATTGTCATTATCATTTATCATTCCTCTTATTACTATAATTAATAGTATGGTTATTATCATCATTATCGTTTTCATTATCGTTATTATTATATATATTATACATTACAATAAACACGTTTAAAGTTATGTATATATACATACATATATTGCTTCTGGTGTGTCCTGCTTCCTCTTCAAAACCGCCCTTGCCCCAGTTCACATAATGTTTTATGTTAATAGTACAGAGTGTGAAGAAAAGTCTGTCACACAGCGAGCTTCATTCGTCACGTTTTTAAATTCGGTAAATAGGATAGTTTGATATTTTTTCTTCTCTTTGGAAACTCATTTTGTTTGAATGTCATAGTTCCCCCCCCTCCCCCACATCAGGGCTGCACACCACACAGAACGGGTTCATGGGCCGTCCTTTAAAATCCGGCATGTGAGCAACCTGTAAGTATTTTCCGTAGTTCGCACCGGAAAGGTATTGCTTTTTTCTCTATATATTGCGACTGTAGCTTCCTAAAGCTTTGTTATTAAAATGAACGACAGCGTCTTCTCTGCCAACCGGTTTTTATACAACGTCATTACTGTTCCGGGATCAGGAAACTGCCAGTGTCCCTGTCAGTGGGTTAATTCTTGACACAAACGGTTGACGAAGGCGTGGCACCCTCACTACGACATAGGGGCGGTAGACAACTGCCTGTCCCTGTCAGTGGGTTAATTCTTGACACAAACGGTTGACGGAGGCGTGGCACCCTCACTACGACATAGGGGCGGTAGACAACTGCCTGTCCCTGTCAGTGGGTTAATTCTTGACACAAACGGTTGACGAAGGCGTGGCACCCTCACTACGACATAGGGGCGGTAGACAACTGCCTGTCCCTGTCAGTGGGTTAATTCTTGACACAAACGGTTGACGAAGGCGTGGCACCCTCACTACGACATAGGGGCGGTAGACAACTGCCTGTCCCTGTCAGTGGGTTAATTCTTGACACAAACGGTTGACGAAGGCGTGGCACCCTCACTACGACATAGGGGCGGTAGACAACTGCCTGTCCCTGTCAGTGGGTTAATTCTTGACACAAACGGTTGACGAAGGCGTGGCACCCTCACTACGACATAGGGGCGGTAGACAACTGCCTGTCCCTGTCAGTGGGTTAATTCTTGACACAAACGGTTGACGAAGGCGTGGCACCCTCACTACGACATAGGGGCGGTAGACAACTGCCTGTCCCTGTCAGTGGGTTAATTCTTGACACAAACGGTTGACGGAGGCGTGGCACCCTCACTACGACATAGGGGCGGTAGACAACTGCCTGTCCCTGTCAGTGGGTTAATTCTTGACACCAACGGTTGACGAAGGCGTGGCACCCTCACTACGACATAGGGGCGGTAGACAACTGCCTGTCCCTGTCAGTGGGTTAATTCTTGACACCAACGGTTGACGAAGGCGTGGCACCCTCACTACGACATAGGGGCGGCAGATTTCGTTGCATATTATAGAAAATGAGACGGTAACTCTTTTTGTTGTTGTTGTTGGGTGTGGATTAACTTGGACCCACAACCAGGTTATTTTCTCAAAACCTGGTGTAAAAAAAACAACAACAAAAAAACTGCAACTGCTTAAGCCCCAGTTTTAATGACATTTGTAATAATCTGATTCGTGATACCCAAGTTTACCGTGGCTTTTTTCAAAAGAGGATGCATTTTTAGCAATCTTTTTCTTAATGCGATCGAATTCTTTTGTGTGTTGTTGCTGTTGTTTATTTTTGTTGTTTCAATGACTTATAGGTCTTAGCCACCTGCTAAACTTACCGTGTAGTTATAAAATAATTTCTAGTATCAGGTCGTACTTTGCAATTCATTTGATCCGTCGGGAGAGGGTAGGTAAAGCATGGGTTATATTTTTTAATGACTTACGAAAACCTTTTTTTCGCCGATGGTTTAGACGTGATCCCCTTCTGAGCCGATGGTTTAGACGTGATCCCCTTCTGAGCCGATGGTTTAGACGTGATCCCCTTCTGAGCCGATGGTTTAGACGTGATCCCCTTCTGAGCCGATGGTTTAGACGTGATCCCCTTCTGAGCCGATGGTTTAGACGTGATCCCCTTCTGAGCCGATGGTTTAGACGTGATCCCCTTCTGAGCCGATGGTTTAGACGTGATCCCCTTCTGAGCCGATGGTTTAGACGTGATCCCCTTCTGAGATCGGGCGCTGAACATTTTGAATTATATCTGCCTTAAATAAGATTCTTTAAAAATAATAAAAATATCGCGAGTGCGTTCTATGCGTAACATTTTCTTTGTTATTTTTTCTGAAAAGGTTGAAGTAAATCTGCGGTGTAAAAGCTGGCGGGTCATTAGAATGCTACTGAAAAATAAAATGATAAATCATTCATTTCAAGGATGTATATGGAAAGCTTTGTTTTTAGGTTGTTTTTTATTTTTTTTTTTGTCCGATTCAATATTCAGCTGACATATACCAATTAAGCGATGTGTATATATGATTGCATACATTATTCAAGTGAAAATAAACTATGTTGACAAAATACAACTTAATTAGGAGCATTAACAATACGTCTATACTCCTGTGACTGCTCTATAAAATGAGTAAAACAGAGTAGGGTTTATTTACTTAGTTTACATGTTTTAATAATTCTAAAGCGCTTAGAGCTTTATGATAAGCGCTATATAAAAATGCCTAAATAAATAAATAAATAAACCTGAAAAAATAAACGTAACAAAACAGCGAACGTGTCGGCAGAAAGCCTTCGTCAGCGAACAAAACAACAGAAAAAACGGTATAAAAATAAAAATAAGAAATAGCACTTAGCTGGTAAGTAGTATCTGAGGGCAGCAATAGAAGTGTGCACTGCTCTAACATTGTGTTCATTCGTGGAGTACCATCGTGAACCGTTACTTGTCCACTGCTTTCCTGTGTCTAAAACTTGAGCTCGGATGACAGCCTCGTTCCCTCTGTCACGTGCACTGCACAACACGTCGGCGGTTGTAACCTTTGAGCTCAATTAATCTGTAACAATGGCTTCCACTTTCACTCGCCTGTCAAACAGCCCTGACTGTCACGGCTCGTCTTCTGGTCCCTCAGCTATCGCCTCTACTCGTTGACTGCATTCTGTGCTCCGAATCCCTCTACGGCTCTTCGGGCGAGTTCTGCGCTCTTGGCCGAGTTCAGCCCTTTCCCCCCCTCTAACGATCCCCTTTTATTTGACCTCGAATTAGTCTCGACATCTTTTGACCACTTTTGCTACTCATTAATTTCTCCACCCTGAAACTGATTTCCAAACATGTATCGTTAAAGAACCTGAGCTCATCAACACGGTCCCTACTAAGAGTTCCCAGTGTGGAGGGACACATAAAGAAGTAATGCGGAGTGCAATCTTTTGAAGCTATAGCGCATAAATTATGGAATATTTTGCCTAAGTCTTTGAGGGAAATTAAAAATGATAACAAAATCATTTAAGAAACATTTAAATATTTTTTTTTCTTTAAATAGATTAAATCAGAGCGCCGTGGGCGTGCTAAAGTAGCATGGGTACAAGCGCTGTGGGCGTGCTAAAGTAGCATGGGTACAAGCGCTGTGCGAGTAGTTAATCCTCATCATCACACTATGACTTACTTCACGCTCTTTCTTACCGTTGCAATGGACATTTCTCGTTAACTAGCAACCTTTGATTGATAACTACCGAAAATGTCGCGTGCCATCTGATCGTCCTGCTCATTGACGAATCGTGCCGACGACTGTCTGCACGAACAAGTTCCAAAAACCTCGGTCTTTTATGGAAATTTCTCATAACAAGCCCCCAGCTCCTTTACTCCAATGCCTTGATTTATATCCAGTGCCTTGATTTATATCCAGTGCCTTGATTTATATCAAGTGCCTTGATTTATAACTATACTGTTAGAGTCACGGTAGCAATAGCCTCGTCGGTATGCTATCTGATACCCTACGACAGGTGGTAAGTCTTCATGCATTTGGGAATTCTCCACTCCTTCATGTTTTGACTCCTCAATATAAGGGTGCTATGTAAGTAATATTTAAAGAATCATTTATCATCAAAAATTATAAAATGACTACAGGATGACTTCTGGTTACTAAATTCATAAGAAAACAAATAACAAAATTTAAAATTAAATTTTAAAAATTAATTTTAAAAAATCTTTTACAATAATATTTTAAAAATAAATTATAAAATGAAAAATTCTTAGCAAGCTACTAAATTACTATTCTAAAGATGACACACCAAACAGCCGAACAGCTGCAGTGTCTCCACAACGAGAAGGTCGTAGTCTGTCTTGACACACTTGTCATCCAAGATTACTTTCAACTGTTTGATCGTGGCGCACACCCTAGTGACGTCATTTCCTCTGGTCAGTTTGGTCAGTGCAACAGTCTTACATTCGTCCACGTAGTCAGTTTTGTTCTTGTAATCCAGGACCTGTTGAAGTAGATCCTCCAGGCTGTTCTCTAACGTTTGGTCCGTTTCAGTTGATCTTAATAAATCGTGGACTGTGGTAGAACCAGGATTTTGCAATTTTCTTGTGTTGATAGTTGTGTCTGATGACGACATTACGTTGTCGTTGGTTTGTCGTCTTTGATCAGCTGTGGTCAACGTATGGCTTGATGTCTCTATTTGTTCCCCCAAAAGATATTTATCTGTCGATGTCAACTTAATGTAGGGCGAACTTGTTGATTGTGTTTTTAGAATCTCTCGGGAGACTTCCATGGTTGTCATGAATATGGATTCTGGTGTTGATATGTACGATGTTGGCGTAGCTGCCATTTTTGTCTGTGTTGTCATGACAACCGAACCTTCTTTGGTGCAAGCAGCTCGTGTTAACTCTTCATACCCCGTCCGATCGCAATAATTAATTCCGACGATTAAGTCCTTTGATAAATCAAACAATGCACACCATTCCTGTGAAGACTTTGAAATGATATTTTCTTGGATTAGACTCTTACAGTAAACTGTGAAGTCACCATCTTGTAACAGTTGTTCAACATGTAAATCACTATTTGAAAGTACTGCAGCAGATTTGATCGTGAGAAGGTGAAGATGGAAGAACACCAGATAAAACGACAAACGAAGCATCTTTTTTTGAGAGATTTGAACGCCTCCGCTGTATTGTAAAGAAATAAAAGAAGAAGAAAAAGATGCTTCACAAAGTGTTTAACTTGTTATAGTACTTATGGTACTCAATAGTATTCACAGATCTCATATTACTTACAGAAGATATAGAACTAATAGTACTCATATTACTTACATAACTTATAGAGCTTACAGTACTCATAGTACTTATATTACTCATAGTACTTATATTACTCATAGTACTCATAGTATTCATAGTTATCATATTACTTACAGAACTTATAGACCTTATAGTACTCATATTACTTATAGAGACTAACAATAACAACTCCAAATACCAATCACGTATATATATATAGTTCATTTGGAATCTTATAATATTTGACATATTAAAACTAATTATTTTTATACAATGAAGCAAACGCATTCGTTCAATCACTATTACAGGCCGTCACTTTATTTAAATATCTCTGTTCTTGTTGGTAGTAAGAAATAAAATATTTGTTATTATAAATAATACTATTATTAATGTAATTTACTAGTATTTATATTTTTTACCATGATCAATATCATGATTGTTACTCATAATTTTTAATCATTATCCCAATCGTTGGTATTAGTATTAGGGTTACTATTTATCAATAGTCTCAATCTTGCATGAAATTTAACATGGGCTCCAATTTTGAGCCCCCCGTTTCTCTTAGTTCCCTAGAGGGTAAATCGCTGGAGCTTTAGCCACATCTTAGTTTTGTCAGATAGTTTACTTGCGCGAAAATTCCCGAATGCGTCAATTATTTTTTTAAAGCAAAAAAATAATAATAATGATAAAAAATAATAATAATAATAATAAACAAAACAAAACAACAAGAACAACAAAGAAAACATAGCGTTAAAAAAAGAATCTAATGTTTGAGCAATTGCCGGAAAATTTGGAATGCTTCTTTCTTCGAGGGAAGCAACTTTGATAAATCTAAAGTTCATTTCGTCGAGTTTTTTCTTCCCTTGAACTTTCAAGGAAAAGTTGTTTTTTTTTGTTGTTTTTTTAAAACTGAAAAGGCCATCATGGGCCATTCATAAATGACGTCAATCCATTTCGGTCAATTTTTGCCACCCCATCCGCCAAAAGTCCATTTCCTAACAACTCTTTGACATTAAGATCCTGATTAGATACTGCCGGGGTGGATTGTTCAAGTTGGTGGGCAGTGAGAAGGTGACGATGCAAGAACACCAGATATAATGATAACCGAAGCATCTTTCTCGAGACATTTTTTCTGCCTTTGCCGTCATGTATTACATAAAAAAAAACAAATATACATATTGTTTAGCCACCGGGCATATAAAGTTTTAACTGTAATTGACTATTTGCTATTTAAGCTGCTATTTCTTTTATTTGCACCGAGTAATTTTGTGAAGTGTCCGATTAATTTTTTTTTTTTTAGCTACCTGGCTTATATATGCATTCATTTTCATTTAATCATTTCTATTTAAGCTGATTATCATATTAGCAAATAGTAATACGAAAACGCTATTAACAAAAATTAACAACATGGTTGTTTTGTTTTCAAAGTAAAGACATCCATATCATTGGTCTCTCGTACAAGCAACATTTCTTTCACGTTGATCATTCATTTCATACCTATCTTTGTAAGCCATCGAAAGATTTGTAAAATTAAAACAACGCCTCGTTATTATTCCTTTAATTTTAATCATACAGTCTCTCACCTGGAATAGATGACCAGAACAGAGTGAATTTAAACAGCAAAAAAAAAAAAAAAAAGAAGACATATATATATGTGTCTGTATGAAGTGCTTGCTATCTGATCCTCTTCAACTACTGTATCTCTAAAAAAAACAAACAACAACAACCTAATCAACATGAGCATTACAAGTGTCAGCCAAGTAGTTTACGAAAGATGCTTAAAACATGTAACAAAAATTTATCACAAGGACATATTATGATGTTACGGTCTTAAGACGCATAGGACAAAGGTTGGAACACCATTGCGACAAGGGCTGGGTTAAGGGTTGGAAAACCTTTGGGACAAGGGAAGGAAAACCTTTGGGGCAAGGGTTGGAAAACCTTTGGGACAAGGGTTGGAAAACCTTTGGGCTAGGGTTGGAAAACCTTTTGGGTCAAGGGTTGGAAAACCTTTGGGTCAAGGGTTGGAAAACCTTGGGGTCAAGGGTTGGAATACCTTTGGGACAAGGGTTGGAAAACCTTTGGGACAAGGGTTGGAAAACCTTTGGGACAAGGGTTGGAAAACCTTTGGGACAAGGGTTGGAAAACCTTTGGGCCATGGTTGGAAAACCTTAGGGTCAAGGGTTGGAAAACCTTTTGGGTCAAGGGTTGGAAAACCTTTGGGACAAGGGTTGGGACCTGGGACACCTTTGAGACAAGGAATGACGGCGATATCCTTTCTTGTACCCGACTAGAATTGTTTTAAACATATTATATTTTTAAAAAAAAAAACCATCTAAATAACTGACAGACCTTGAATATAAGCTGCTACGAGCTTATGAAATGTAATCGTTTGAAATGCTGATGTCTACAGACATTTATTCCTTTGAAACCCTTGAATATTCATAGAAATAGGATACTTTCTTTCTTATCTTCACGCAAAAACTATGAAATCCTTCAGCTGTTCCAGTCCCAATTCGTAGACTCAACAATTGAGAAATGTTCGCTGCACTGGAAAGGTCGCTTTGAGAGGAAGCCAGATCAAAGAGGTCAAACAAGCTCTGCCTGGTCCTTCCTCAAACTCGTCCTAAAAACACTAACCTCGTCCCCTACCAGAAGCTACCAGATGAAACCCATAATCCTCACCTCTAAAACTCACCTCCCCACCAAGATCAACCTTCGATTTCTCCACAACTCCGTATTCACTTCCCTCCTTTTCATCAGCACCTTTGTCATTAAATCCCCCGCTATAAAGTTTACTTCAATATACGACCCTGCTCCCTACCTCAGCCCTCTTTCTAAATATCCTAGCCACGACTCCTTTATATCCATGCGATGACAGCTTTATATCCATGCCACGACGCCTTTATATCCATGCCACGACTCCTTTATATCCATGCCACGACTCTTTTATATCCATGCCAAGACTCCTTCATATCCATGCCACGACTCCTTTATATCCATGCCTGACTTCTTTATATCCATGCCATGACTCCTTTATATCCATGCCCCGACTCCTTTATATCCATGCCATGACTCATTTATATCCATGCCACGACTCCTTTATATCCATGCCATGACTCCTTTATATCCATGCCATGACTCCTTTATATTCATGCCACGACACCTTTATATCCATGCCATGACTCTTTCATATCCATGCCACGACTCCTTTATATCCATGCCACGACTCCTTTATATCCATGCCACGACTCCTTTATATCCATGCCATGACCCCTTTATATACATGCCACGACTCCTTTATATCCATGCCACGACTCCTTTATATCCATGCCACGACTCCTTTATATCCATGCCACGACACCTTTATATCCATGCCATGACTCCTTTATATCCATGCCACGACTCCTTTATATCCATGCCACGACTCCTTTATATCCATGCCATGACCCCTTTATATACATGCCTCGACTCCTTTATATCCTAGCCATGACTCCTTTATATCCATGCCATGACACCTTTATATCCATGCTATGACACCTTTATATCCATGCCATGATACCTTTATATCCTAGCCACGACTCCTTTATATCCATGCCACGACTCCTTAATATCCATGCCATGACACCTTTATATTCTATCCATGAGACCTTTCTTATCCAAGCCAATACTCCTTTATATCCATGTCATGACACTTTTATATCCAAGCCATGAAACCTTTATATTCAATCCATGACACCTTTCCTCCTACACCCTAGCCCTCCTCACTCTCTAAATATCCAGCCATGACACCTTTATATCCAAGCCATGACACCATTTTATCTTTCAATTCCATTTCTTGCACGTTTGCAGCCCCCCCCCCACACACACTCACACAAAATAATAAATATGGTGTTCCCAACTTATCACATTTTGTCATAAAAAACAGGGAACCTTTTGATGATGATTGGTTAATGGAGAGCGTGCCTTGAAGTATGCGTTGAAGTTAATGTTGGACATTAGAGCACAAATTGTAATTTAGTTAAACGTAACATATTGTTAGAATTAAAATAAATTGTAAATTAAATGCAAAATTTCAGCCCAACACACAAAGAGTCAAGAAAATGGAAGTGGTTCTAAAACTTGTCCTTGCCACCGCCCCCTTCGGGACCCCTAATCTCATCCATTGAGCGTACCCGTCAACCCTGCTATAACCAATCTCAGAATTTAAATAGATTTCGGACAACCAGAGCGCAGTGTGCATGCTAAAGTGGCATGGATACCAGCGCGATATAAATATCAAAATCATTCAATCAATCAACTATGCAGTGTACAACTAAAACGGATACAATGAAATGTAAAAGTGGAGCATATTTAAATTTTTAATCAAATTACAAAATTTTTTAAAATTTATTTTAATTAATTTAGTGATAAAATAATTAGCGATACCCAGGGACATCACGGCTTTTAAAGATAGAAGACATTTTAGCAAGCTTTTGAGGTACCTAACCATTTTCAGTACTTACTTTGCTCTCAATGCGACCGATTCTAGTTTACCCAATTCTTTAGAAAAAAAAAATAAAATTTATATATATATTTTTTTTAAGTTTTTTTTTTTTTTTTGGTTAAAAAGTAAATATTTTTAAAGACTTTTTTGCTCTCAATGCGACCGATTCTAGTTTACCCAATTCTTTAGAAAAAAAAAATAAAATTTATATATATATTTTTTTTAAGTTTTTTTTTTTTTTTTTGGTTAAAAAGTAAATAGTTTTAAAGACTTTAAGGTCTTAGCTACTTGCCAAATTTACAGTATCTGTATCACAATTTGCTTACATCAGATCATATTTTGAATGTCCATTGATAAGTTGAGGGCTCGGCAGTGATTAACTTATTAGACGACTTATGAAAACCTTTCCTGATCACCAAGGCGTGATCCTCGTCCTGAAATCGCGCGTTCTGCATTTTGAATCATTCCTTGATGTTCCTGGATTTTTAAAATTCAAATTTAGCTCCAGCTTATAAACTCGCTGGTACGCCACTTGGTTGTGAAAGTAGAATAATGTGTATCCTTATGTTGGTAATGCGATTTCGCTTGTCATGCGTGGTGAGATGTCGGTCATAAGGAAGGATGGTGTGAATTTCGTTTTGAAAGATGTGCTCCTACGATTGTGTGGCGTGCACGAAACGGCGCTGCTCCCGAACGCCGCTTCAGGCTCTTGCGAAAACGGATGTGGCCCTGGACGTAGATTTTCCAAAGACTCCTCTCAAATGTTCTTATTAATCTTATGCTCCCAACTTCTCGGCCCGCGAGAATAAATTCCGCCGATGGCGGCGCCTCCACCGTTTATTATTATTAAATCTTTTATATTAACTTTGCTTCTGTTTGGTGGTGGCAGGCTGACTGACTAGCTGGGTGGCTAAATGATCCACTTCTCGTCAAGGTATCGAGCTGAAACTTGATAATAAACTCCTTACCGACTATAAAATATTCTTTCAAATTTTCAGCCCTACCCTCAACCCCAACCCCTCCAAAATCCATTTTTCCTCTTTTTCAATGGGGAAGATAAATTGAAAATTCCCGATAACTGCGCTAAATGATATTCTTAAAAAATAAATATCGCAAGGTCGTTTGGTGCGCAATTTTTTTTTTTTCTGAAATATTTGGTGAAATAAATCTTCGCTGTAAAAGCTGGTGGGGGATTGAATATTAATATGATTCAGGGGTGTGGGGGAAAAAATGTGCTTTTTCGAGCCTTTGGGGTGGATGGAGCACTAATTTGGATTCTTATCAAATGCGTTACATGTATGCGTGTTTTGTCCATTTTGCTTCAAATTATATTTTATAAAAGATTTGTACGAAAAACGTTGTTCTTACAGGGTTAATTTAATTTTTAAATGTGTGTCTGTGTTTTTTGGGGTGGCCCCGAGGGGGGGGGGGGTAAGTTTGGAATGAGGAGTTTATTTAAATTAAACTATGATCTGGTTCAGTCTTGAATTAAATTATCATGCATCAATATTTACTTATTTTTTGTTACTCCGAGCCGTCAATTGCGCAATTGACTAAATAAGTCTCGCAAATTGTTACAGTTCCCTCGTGGACAGTAAATTCAAGAATAGTCAAAAAACTGTATAATTGAACACTTGAGTCAAAGATGCAACAACCGCTCCAATAGCTCCAATACATTAAATCATCTTTTATGTTTATGTCTCCATGTTTGTGTGCAGATGCAGTACAACGTAAAAAAGTAAAGTACACGTTTCAAATGTCAACCAACTCCAACCACGAACATGTCAAGATAAAACAGACGGACAATTTTCTGAAGCCGGTATTTTAAAAAAAAAAAATTTTTTTGGGGGGGGGGTGGGGGGGGGGGGGGGGGGAAGGTTTTTTCTAAA